CACACACACACACACACACACACACACACACACACAGCTGAGCTCAGCAGCATTGTGGTAAAAACAGGGTGGATTATGTGCAGAGCAAGCAAACGTCACTCAGCTCTGCAGCCTAGGATCTCTGAAACAGGAACCACTGTCTATCAAGCTGACAACCTCTGCGTGTTGTGTTGTGCGTGTGTGCGAGAGGGTTTAAGTGTCATCACCTGCCCGTGTGTCACTTTCATCTCCTTCCCGGCAAACAGATCGTGGTAAGAGAGACACATCAAAGTAGAGAAGGATGATGGAGGAGGAGGTGGTGGAGGTGCTGGTGGAGCATTTATTTCCAACGACAGACAGTAAATACAGCTGCTCTCATCTCCGAGTATAAACTCTTCTACAGCGAGCTGAGGCTTGTATGTTTTCCTGCATCCTGTGCGTGAGCGTGTGTGTACTGGCTTCATGTTTCTGTGCGTGTCCACTGTCACAATACTCACATCAAGGCGATCAATCGTGGTTTACAGTTAAGTTACATCACTTATTGACAATGTAAACACAACCATGTCTGCTTATTACAATAATATTACAAAAATTAGTACAATTTGCATAAAAGGCTGAGTAAGCTCTAGAAAATATTCACATACATTAATGAGTTAATATGAAACAGCACCAGAATATTGCATACACTTTTATTAAGATTTAAGACTAAGGTTTAGGTCGTCAGTACCGACGTATATGCAGTAAATTATACAATATACAGGTACTCAGTTTTATTGCTTGACATATTGCTATTAAAATGGATTATTTGGGCTCACTGGATACAGGGATTCATTCTCCTGTGAAATGTATTAAATCTAAAGTCTCAAACAAAAAGGTAAACAGACACACCAGGACAACATTTCAAACAGTTTGAGATATTCAGAAAAAACTTTAGGAAAGACTTTTTCACTTATCTTCAATTTAAATGTCAGACCTAATGAACCGTCTGACATCGAACCGTTTCAAACTATAGACTGCTTACAAAGATGTACGACATGTCTCCACTTCCTCTCGTTTTCCAAAGGTGAAGCTAAAATATCCCGGACACAAACACCCCCATCTTGTGTATTTGTATCCTGACTGACTCAAGATTCATCAAGCATGTGTATGAAGCTGTTTTCAGACGTGACCTCCGAGTTAATCTGGAGAATCGGCTACGGACTGTGACTCCAAATGACGTCAGAGGTACAAGATGGCAGCAGACGTACCAAGGATTGTTTGGCTTCATTTTTGTGCAGCATGAGGAATTGGAGAATTGGCGTCGTCCATCTTTATAAACAGCCCAGGTTTCAAATATTTGATTCTGGTGTGTAACGCTGTAGTACCAAAAAGCTGAAAAGGGTTGACGGGGTTATAACTTCTTGTTTCTCTATGAATAGCTGAAACAAAACAGAAAATCACAACAAAGGAAAACAAATTGCATATATATATATATATATATATATAAAAAAAAGTGTCCAAAACAAACGGAACGAGGATCCTGACTAAATGAAACGGCCACTGTTGGCAACTGAACATCTTTTTTTTTTTTTTCCTTTATTATCTCTCACCATCTTTCATTCTCTTTTCTCCCCTGTGGCTTCATCGTGATCATCCTCCTCAGTGTCTTTGGTCCATGTGCACAATGTAAGATGGAATGTCAAAAAGAAAACAAACAAACAAAAATAAACAGGTGTTGTCGTTGCTATGGTGATGGAGGACAAATCCGTGGTGGTGTGTGGGAGGGTTTACAGCGCCCATAAATTAACTGAAAAACAATGACAAACAATGAAGAAAAGAAATTGGATGAATAAACAACTAGTGAATGGAAACATCAAATTAAGAAGACATTGAAATTCTACAGAAAAACAAAGTTTGTGATGAAGCAAAGTGTGACAGCTCAGAGAAATATGAAACTGGTGTTAGTGAAGAGAAGAGAAAAGTGTGAGCCATCGACAACTCCACCTGGATTAACTGCAAGAAACTAGATTCTACCTTCAACGTGTTGATCTAGTTTAACTGAAGGTTGGATGTCTGGATGATAGAATGTCCATGATGGAAGATGTGTTTTCTTACAGCAGCAATGAAAGAAGAGTGCGAGAGCGGCCACAAGATGGAGCCACACGTCCTCACTTGAACGCTCAGCCTCAGACTAAAGACTATGAGAAAGTCATGTGCAGATCACATCACTGCAGACCAATGTCTGAAGTGGAGCAAATGTTTGTTTCCAGTCTCCCAGGCAAACTTCAGCTTCAGCTCCTCACAGAACAGTTTGACAATTTACCTGCAGAGACTTACAAACCTGCTCTGATTATGTAATCCATTAAAACGAGATGAATGACTGGGAGATTTTCTGAAATCTCTTATCGTGATGAGTTCAATCAACATCAAAAATGTAAGAAAATCTAGAGCTGCATTTATAAGCTACACTGAATAAGACAAAATACTTGGCCACCTGAACGTTAAAGCCACATGTGACCGTTCACCATCTCAGTCTCAGACCAGGGAGACAGCCTCTGCTCTTCAATTCCTCAAAGTGTCGGGTGGGGTTGAGGTCAGGGCTCTACAGTAAGACAGTGATGTCGTTTTGCCAGGAGAAGGGAGGACGCTAGCGAGCAAAGCAGTCTGAACAATTGCTTTTTATGTTGAAATTAGTTTGAACTTGATTTGAAGAAACACTGACAGCTCTACTGCAGACCACATGGGGAAACTTTAAGCATTTTACTGTCTTCATTGTTATTTTCTGTATGATTATGATTTACCTTAACTGAAACTAAGGACTCTAGATTCTGTAACAAACGCTGTCACGAGAAAGTAAAGCCTCTTAACCTACAGGAAAAACAGCCCCAGTTCACAAACACTGCGGCCACACAAACCAGAAGAATCTGAGTGTTCCCTGAACGCACCTAGAAACAATCCCTGCCGTCAACTGAATCTCCACACAATGAAAGCAGAGCAGCAAATGTCACATGATGTGTTCACTACAACCGGTTACTCAATAATGCATGTGCTACTCGTCTCTGCAGGTGAACTGTCGTGAACGAACACAAACCAGTGGCTGTCTGCAAGGTAAGAAATCAAACGTGGGCTATTGAATGGTTTGCAGTGCAGTGAAATATACATGATGTGTACTGAGAGGTAAAAGTAATAGTATTATTTATACCTGGACCACCAGCATCCCCTCACTCAAGGTAGGCTGTATTCTGCATCACATATTTATAAGCCAAGCTTGCTATTGTCTTAGAGTGGGTTTACTGCCTCCTCCCTGAATGTCCTGAATAATTAGAGCGAGGCGAAGGGAAAGAGTGAAAGGACAGGAAATGTTAAGCTTGGGCAGGACATAAAGGGAAGTTCCCTCAACACATGCCAGGTCCTTTATAATGGCAGACATGCTTGTGTATTGGAGATAGCTCAACAGCACATTTGATTTGAGGCTCCTGGATGTGACACTTTGCCAAAGCAGAGTGAAACCCTCCAGATATAAAAGAGCTAAAGAGCAAAAAGAGAAGGATTTCAGGCTTTTAGGCACAAATTAAAAAGTCAACAGGATTAGTCAGAGAAAGGAGAAGGGCTGAAAAATAGCAGCTTCCTGTTATGGAAAGAAGGAGAGGTGAGTAAGGGACTGACTTACTTTTTCTTGTCCTTGTCTTTCTTGAGCGGCTGAGATAAGGAGAGTGTCTCGGCTGCCACCTTCTTCCTGTTGAAGGCGTTCATCTCCTCCTCCAGATCTCTCCGCTTCTCCTCCACCTTCCTCTTCTCCTCCTGATGCATCCGCTTCAGCTGCTCAAACTTGTCATGCAGCTGAGAGGAGAGGAGAGGGAGGAGACGAGGGTGATGATTGACAGAGGATAACGGGAACAGATTGCGAGCACTGATATTTATTGTGGGGTTTTTTAACAATCAACGTGTAAAAGCGTTTGCTCAACACCAAGCTGCAGCGTGAAATCCATTTTTTCAATCAAATTAGGTTATTATTCTATAACAAGCTGATTGTTCCAAAATGTATTTCACATGATTGACAGATATTAAAGATTTAAATTGAATTTGCTTCAATGAATCAGATTCTAGGGCAAAATAAAAATTCATTAGAGAAATTTTTCACTACATAAAACAAAGTAAGTTAGTTGAGCTGCATCATCTTGTTTAATCTGAGATCCTGTTTCTTGTGTTTACAGCAGTTACTGTTTCTGACCGGCTGTTAACGAGGACACGTGAAGCATAGTTTAAATGCCATTCTATGGTATCCATAGCAACAGCAACTGCAATAGTTGGAAAAGTAACACCGGCCCTCGCTGGTGAAAGTGAAATTTCTGTCCACAGACATTTCATTTTCCTGGACTCACCTCTCTCTCCTTTTCCTTCAGCTCTGCTTCCGTCTCTTTTACTTTGTTGACGAACATTTGTCGCATTTCTTCCTCTTTGCGCTGCAAGTCGCCCAAGAACTCTTTCCTCTTTGCTTCATACGTCTCTTGCAGGCTGGAGAGAAGAAAACACGGGACAGAGCAGAGGATAGATTAGGTACTTTCTCGAATATCTCCGTGGTTTCAGATATAGTGTGTGTGCATTGAGTTGTGCATGTGTTAAGTCTCTCTCTACCTGAAGGGCTGGCTGTCAGGGTCGGTATCTTTGAAGCCCATTTCTTCTAACTTGCATCGCCGGTACAGCTCGTAATGGCGGGCATGGGTCTGCTCCCTCAGATCCTCCATATTGACCCGGATCAGCATCTCTCGGAGTTTAACAAAGTCGCAGTGGCTCTCATTCTCAACTAAAGAAAAAAAAGAGGACACCACAATAAGGACAGCAGTTGTGATTTACTTTGTTGTTTATGATGACAAATCCTGCTTTGTAAAAATGTTCATGAGTCACAGCTACACACTTGTGTCTTGTTTCTCATTCTGAGTCTTTGCTCCTCACATTTCATTCTGTGCCTGGCTGTCTTTTGTATTTCTTTTAACATATCTTTTACTCTCCATCTGCCACCCTGTCACACTTCCTCCCCCTCCCTCTCCATCACTCTCTCCAAAGCAGGAGATCTGTAGAGAACTAGCGCACTACACACTAAAACACATTAGATATCAATCAAACCAAATCTATCATATTTTGCCAACAAATAGAATTTAACACGTGAGATATTCTACATTTTTACTTCTGGAGCGACTTTAACAACTTTAGTTTCATGTCTGAGTGACTTTCACAGTTAAATGAATTCATGGAGAGGAAAGGGCAGTTAAGTGTTTCCTGCCTGACAGACTGACAGCCGAGGGAGGGGGGGGCATCATTTCCATCCTGATGAAGCCTTTTTGCTCATAGGTCACCTCACTTAACTCCACCAGAACAATACAGGCTGTTCTGGAAATTTAAAAAGTTGATTTTTTTTGCGTGGTTCGAGGCCAGAACAAAGGTCGATGTGGGACTATAAGATGGACTGAAGCCATGGGTACTATGAAAAAATAGTCAGGACTATATACAATTATACAATGATGTACTTCACAGCTGCTGGAGCTGAATTAACAGTCGGTGATTGACGCAGGTCTGATGGTGCTCCACAAACTTAATAGAAAAGTACTGAGAGCTTCCTCCCCACACACTCCACTGATGCTCGAATCCCACTCAGTTCATTAGTTTGGAATGTCTCCCGACGGCCCACAATAGATATATAAATCCCTTATCACTAACATTTATGCAGAGGGCAGGGAAAGGAAAATATGTGAAACTTTTATAAAGTATGTTTAAGACTTAAATTCAATGTTATCTAAGTCAAATAGCCAGACTTCCCTGCTGCTGGCTCAAATTCTGCACAAGTAAAAACACTCCTCCCTTTTAGTTTTTCTTTCTTGGCTTTATTTTTCTCCTATTTACAGACTTGAAATGACCTTAGAGTCAAAATGGAAACTAGAAAACTCTTAATGATAATTGGATCTGCTCAATCGCATCCAATTTTTAAATGAGGACCACAAGAACCTGGAGCGTGTAACTCAAAACATCGGCCAAATGATCTCGACAAAACAAGAGAAGAGTGGCCTGTTAAAACAGACATGTGATGTCAAAGGGAAAAAAATATTTTCCCCTTTCAAGAAGAAAATGTGATCAACCTGTTTGCGGAGCTCAGAGATTTTCTGTTGTGTCAGATCTGATGTGTGCGGAGGCCAAGTGCACATGAAGAGAGGAGGCACGTGGTATCTCGGCCGCAGAAACGTATGCCATTAACTCAGAGGGGAGGCAGCGGTGATGGGATGTATGTTGTGTTTAAATACCACCACAAGCTGTGAGCTCGGAGGATGTAAAGACGGCAATAATTATATCGGCAATGTCCAGTTAGCGTGGCATTTAGCTTCTCCTGGTGGAAAACGCAATGAAAGCAGTGCAAGATAGTAGAACCACACTGCAGCATAAAAAGTGTCAGAGTGCTGGAACTTTCCTTCATTAGATTCAAATAAATGAATCAAATGAACAAACACTGACTCTTCTACTTCACGCTGCATCTGTGTGAATCGCTCGCTCTTATTTTTACTCAAATTTGCTCGTTAACCACACGTCATTAGAGGGAGAATACAAGTTAAAAACAGAAATGAACAGTTCTCTGAGGCAGCGTCCAGGCTACTGGCAGTGCCTCTTCATTTGGCATCTAATGGTCTCTTTGCAGTAGCCTCCCTGCTGAGGGCTGAACTAGAGCCAATCCTGTGACTGACTGCAGCACTGAGCCCTCGAGATATCTGAGCACAGGCTCCACAAAAACACACACTGATACAAATGGATTACAGAGACATGCTGCAAACAAATAAAGACAAATGAGTAAAATGAAATGTAGCAGAAACATGTTGACTCAATGAACACTGAAACGTTGTGTCACAGGCTGATCTTCAGCTTCTGTGGTTTTGCTTAACTTTATCTAAATTATTAAAACGAACTCCTGAGCTCAGTGGTAAATAATCATAATATATCGGAAGGTTTTATGCAACGTATGAGCAAAATTGAAATAGAAAATTAGTTTTTAGTGTCGGAGAAGCTCAATATCTTTAATTACATACTCCTAAAATTAACATAATTATTATTTTTTTCACCCCAAACCAGAGGATGACATTTGAATGTTAAAGTGATTTATCTTTATAAATCACTAACTTTTCCTTACTTGAGAATTACAACAAGGATGAAATGGTTGATTGTGAGTGTTCATCACTTCACAAGCGAGTAGACCGATGGGCTATTTGCACATAGAAACACACTGCATGTAGTAAAACTTTTTATGCTTGGCAAAGGTCAAAATGTCTATTGTTAAAAGCAAAATGCAACAAAGTGCAAAGATAACAGACATTTAAAAAAATTACGACGTAGACGAAGCATCCCAGTCGAGGTGAAAGGACCTTCCTCAGATCAACACATAAAACAAATGTAAATCCCATCTTTAAATGATGTCATTAAATATGTCTAAAAGTTACAATATGCAAACATACACTGTTGATGCACAGAAGAAATAACACACAGTAGCTTGCAATGAAGAAACACGCTGTCTGTCTGTCACAGACGTCTGGAGTTCAGAGATAACAGAGCACTGAGATTCGAAGGAAAGATAACACACACACACACACAC